TTGGTCGAGACATGCTACTGAACTGGCTTGAAGGAGAAGGATGAACAAAAACTATGTGCACGGACAGAACCCCTCTTACGGTTGCCAAATGACCTACTTACAGAGGGCATTCCTCTGTTTCAAGGTCTCCTCTGTGTCAAGGGCTGTCCAGTCCAAGGCTAGTTGAGTAATTATTAAAAGGGAGAACTGGCCCTTGAAGTTGCCTCTCAGTCAGTGGGTAACAACTTTCCCCACTGTGATGTGCCATTGTGTCCTTCAAGGCATAGGTTTTCTCCATGATCTTAATGACACTGCTGAAGCTAATGGTAAATCTCCACTTAGTAGGGGTATGTGTGTGTATATATAAACTTAGTATGAATGTATATATACCTGTACATGTCACTAACATATGAGGAGATGTGGAGAAAGCTGTCCCTTTAAAAATAGCCTGTTTTGGGCCCCCTAATCCAGCTTCTCCATTAAAGTGGAACTGCCCTGTTGCTTCCCAAACATCTTACAAGATCTATTTATTTATTTATTTATTTATTTATTTATATTTATATGCTGCCTTTTTCCTACAAAGGGCTTTAGGCAACTTACATCTCTTCCTCCATCTTATCCCACAACAACAACCCTGTGAGGTAGGTTGGGCTGAGAGTCTGTGACTGGCCCGAAGTCACCCAACTGGCTCCATGGCTGAGTGGGGACTAGAACCCAGATTGTCTGAGTCCCAGTCCCATGCTCTTAACCACTACACCACACTGGCTCTCATAAGCTGGAATTTTCCCTTGATATGTCCTGGTTTTTGATTCTAAAGAGGAACATTTGCCATTTCATGCCTCTTTCTGGAAAAGTCTTAGGCATCTACATAGGTGACTCTTATGTGCTAAGTAACACTTGTGAGTGGAGAATTCACCTGCATTTGCCGGTATCCTCCCCTGAGCCTACAGCAAGGGTAGAAAAACATTTGTAGGGAACAGCCAAGTTTTCTTTTCCAGGAACTGTGTGCCAGCACTTGGCAAGGCCAGCTCAAAAAGTAGGCAGGACTAACCCGACGCACACTCTCTTTCGCGCATATGCACCCTCCTCCATTCTACCAAGAACCCTGCCCCTGCATGCCACAATTAGGCTTCAAAAAAGGCATCCCATTGGAGTTTTTAATCTTTTACCTCCAATCTTAATTATGCTTCTTAATTTGGCAGCTGGAGGTTGATAGTATACTTTAGGATTGCCCAAGGATGTTTTGTTCTGCCCTCTTGCTCAGCAATGCTGGTGTCATCAGCAAACTTGGCCACTTCACTGCTTACTCCTAATTCCAGACCATTTACAAGTAGGTTGAAAATAATTGGTCCTAGTATTGATGACATGCTTCCACTAGGAGAAATTACCATTTATTTCCACCCTCTGTTTTCTGTTCTTTAACCAGTTAGTGATCCATTAGAGGAGGTCTCCTTTTATTCTGTGGCTGCTTGCTCAGAAACCTTTAGTGAGGAACTTTGTCAAAAGCCTTTTGGAAATTCAAGTAAACAATGTCTACTGGATTGTCCTAAGCACTCATTGAGATGCCATCTAATTCAAACTGCAGAAGTATGATACATCTATCACACCCAGAAAGTTCTCAGATTAGATCTGTAAGACTGAGGAAACATAATTCATGATGTTGTGAGATCAGAGGGATGGGTCGAGTTTTCCCCAGAATTGCCTTTGCAAGGCAAGACTAGCCCAGTAAATACACTTAAGCAAGTAGGTCACACCATAGAGTTCAAAGCAAAGCAAGTACACTCAGTCTCTGTAAAACATGTTTTATATAGATTGCTGTATGTCTCTTTTCAAATGTGATGGGTTCTTTGTCCATCTCAGACCAGAAGCATGTAGCAAGAGAATAAAGGGACTTCTTTGTACACAGGTTCACCAAGACATTATAATGCTACTTTTATCTAAGTCCCACTACTCTGCAGACTAGTTAACCTGAGATATTCTTCTCCAGTCTTCCCCAGATGGGAGTGGAACACAACACAATTTTCATTGCCCTGTCCCATGTACCTGAAAGGTACTTGTAAACTCAATTGTGCATAGGCATTCCATGATCTATATGCTGCAAAATGCAGAGTGCAGACCACATCATTTGCACCTATATAAGGATGCAATATCCAGGATCTGAACTTTAGATGTATAGAGGTATCGAAGCCAATTGTTCCAAGCACAATTGCTCCATTTCTAAATCAACTTTTTGGACCCAAAGGTATAGTTGGGAATTTGAGAAGCTACTGTGGGCAGTACCACCAAAGGCACAGCTGGTCACAATGGAGCAGGCTAGTGAAAAGAAGGCGCAAACCTAAGGATGGGCAAGAGCAAGAGAAAAGCAAAGAGCTACAAGCCAGGGGTGGAGGAAAGAAGGAAGCTAAGGGCAAAAGGAGAAAATGAGGAAGGCTAGAGGCTGGGAGTGGAGACAGAGAACAAAGCGAAAGGATCTCTGTCGGTGGGAGAAAATTGGGCAGTGCAAGGAAGCAACTCTTGTCTTCCCTTCCTGCCTGCTGCAGAGCTGATCCAAAGAGATTCCAAAACAGGAAGGGGAACCTAACTTTTTTCATTAAAAAAATGTCTGAAGGGATAGAGACTGGAGATAGACTCAGAGTTTCTTCTTTGTGGAAATTGTTGAGGGCGCTGCATTGGGACCTCTTTCAAGCACACACACACCCTGAATGGAAGACAATAGCTGCAGATGACTATTCCATCTTCAAACAATGTAACCATTTTTATTTACTGCAGAATAGACATTGTGATTCAGCAGTTGATGAGCTGAACTTTATCTTACGTAAGATCAAATAAATTTTGCAAATGCTATGGGATCTGTCATATAAAATGAGAGATCGTGTGTACTCATTTATTACCAGCTCAAGGGTAAAGCCTGGTGACTAACAGACTATATAGTTACCGCATAAACAGCCAGCCTTTCTGCGAACCTGGCTCTGCAAACCTCAACATTTAACAAGCAGACACAACTAATTACCTCTGACCCCTAAAGAGAAAGAAGGGAAAACTCTTGTCACAGTTAAAGAGAATGTGGAACAACCATCTCAGTCTTCTCAGTATCTGTAAAGGGAATCTATTCAAAATTCATTCATTAAAATATGCAGATTTCAGGTTCAGATATTAAAATAAATGCTCTTGGCGCAAGAAAATGTACCAGCCAAGGCTGGCCATTTTTTTCTAGGTCTCAATTATTTTTTAGATACAGTAAAAATTATATGGTGCTCCACAGGGCCCTGCTTTGTTTTGGAAGAAAAGTTAAGTATCTCCATTCAGATTTGTCAGAACTGTCACAGAAAAAACTTGATTTTTCTGAGTGATGGCACTAACTGCACAGTTCAGTTGGGCTTAAAGGGGCAGCTGCTGAAGTGATGGCTTTAAAGTACATATATGCACAGAGAGATCTGTTAGCAGCAATATATGAATCAGGTCATTTGTATCTTTACACTATCTACTTAACAAAGTGAGAATCGCAAAGGCTTTATTCCCCATAATCCTATAATAGCAATACCGTGCAGAGGAAAATAAAATATAGTGCTGTGTAGCCACTGTTTGAAAAGGGTTACCTATACTAACTATGAACACCTGATTTTGGAGACTTATCAGCCATGGTGCAAGAGATCCCTTGGCAACTTTGGGTCAATAGCTGTTTTTATAGGAAAATGTATTTCATGTGTGCCACAAGCTGCTTCCAAATGAGGCTTTTATAGCACCATAGCCCTGCCACATTCATAGAATATTACAGAGGCCCAGATGTCATCTCCCACGCGTAACCGCCAGTGATTTCCCATTGCTTTGTCCTGACTACAGAAAACTCTGAGCTCGTGAGGTTGCAGATTATGGCCTGGTCAAACTAAGCAGATTATGGCCTGGTCAAAGATTTGGCAGGCAAACCAGCTGGGAGTCTCATGTAACCTCCTAGAGTTCTATGATGGAGAAAAGGTGGGATGTAAATGTAATCCAAGTTTTCCGGTTCATTAAGGAGAACAATTGCTGCACAATGCCTGGTAGCTCTAGTGCTAGGAGCCCTCCATTTAGAAGAAACTGTACTCACAGCAATTTTTATTAAAAACAAGAGTTCAGCAATTGCAGGAGAGGGGACGCATGCCCGGAATATCCCATCATCACTCACTCCTCTGGTGTTTGCTCCCCTGCATGTGTCCCAATCCATTCCACTAGGAGCCCTGCCCCTGCCCATAGCAATTAGGTTCAAGAAATGCACCCCACTGGAGCTTTTATCCCTTATTCACCATCTTAATAATGCTTCTAAATTTGGCAGCTGGGGTTTGATGGTGTACTTTTGGGCTACCCAAGGATGAGTCTCCTGCCTTCTTGCTCTTTGATGCTGCATAAGTACTTGCTAGGTTCAGCCTGTCTACCCTCTGACTTAAATTAGGTGGAGTTAGAGCTGGTAGTTACCTCCTCCCTAGTAAAAGCTTGAAGATACTTGAGTTCCCTTTGGTCTAGTTCTAGGGTTAAGTAGCAGGATGGTGGGCAACAACAAAAGGAGGGAGAAATGTTCTTGACCATCCCCTGTCCTGTAAGACAGTTGGGAACTTCTTTACAGGGTAACCTAAAATTTTGCTTAGGTCTGGACTTTCCCCTGTCCCTTGCTAGGGTGAATAGCCAGTTCTGATGAATGTGCACATATACTCAGAGGGTTTCATCTTGCAAAAGTTAGGAACTATATCCACAGGCTATGCTTTCAGTGTTTAAAGAGCAATAGGTCTTATGCGCTGTAGACTTTGGTTATCAATTGTGGACTGTATTCCTAACAAAGATAAAGAAAAACTTTAACGAACATACTGATCCATAAGAAGTGTGTGTGTGTGTGTGTGTTTGTGCGTGTGTGGAATATACAAATCCATATAAACCTGTATGCAGAACAGGTTTGTGGTTCTTTTATATAGCTTGCAAATGCATCTCTATCTGTATACACAAAAGGCAATAATAATGAAATCAATAACTGCAAAAAGAAATCAGACATCTAGTGATCATTCACTACCTTGGATTTTATTTGCTTTCAAAATAATAGGATTTATTTATTGAAATTTATAATATTGCCATATATGATTAAAGCAAGTGCCTTTCATTGAGGTTAGTAGATCCAAATCCTTTGAAAATGTATGAAAGGGGTAAAAAATGTATACAATTAGGCTAGCAAACAACAGTGTTAAATACACACACAGTGTTTAACATTTATTAGCAGCAGCTTTCCAATAACTTGCAAACATTTCCTAACACAGCTTTTCCACTGCTACAGCATAATTAAAGTACACCATTTATACCAAGGCCAAAATGAGATTTAAAAAAATATCAGGAAAGTCTTTCACTGCAATAATCTTTTTTGTTAAAAAAGATAAAGTGGTTATTAGAAACTTAGATAGGAAGCTCAGCTCAGTTCCCTTCATCACAGTTATTTTTGCATAGTTTAGAACTATGCACTCAGTTTTGTGTGCAAATACATACACTGGATTTTGTTTGAATCCTACTATGCTTCTTGAAGAGTGCAATTCTTTGCATGTTTAGACAGAAATGGCCTTACCACTTGGGCCATGATGACAGTTGTAAGACTTTTTTCTGTCTATACATGCATAGGACTGTTCCTTAAGTTGGATAAGTATTGTTAGATGATAAAAAAACATTCCCATAAACTTTCAAATAAGAAACAAAAAATCCTGGAGTCAGCTGTGACCCCAGCAGATAGAGATGGGTGAGATCATGATTCATGATCTTTGATTTAACCCATGTATCTTTGAGTAATCTGCAAGGAAGCTCCAAATAACATGGTTTCTAACAGGGTCCGTTCTTTAAAAGATCTCACAAGTTCTCCTCTTCACGTAAAAACTGGAACACAGATGAGAAGTCTTTCTGGGCATAGCCCTTGGCACACATGATTCTGTAAACCTGATGGGCTAGGGAGCCAAGAGGGATTGGCGTCTTGGTATTGGTAGCAGAATTTTGGGCCAAACCAAGATCCTGAAAATAGAAACAAATATTTAGCAAGAGGGATGGGCACAAAGATAGGAGAAGCCTATTACACAATGAGAACTATATCTAAACATATGGATGTAAGCACACTAAAAAAAACTGTGTGCTGTCCGAGACCATGCAGTTTTCAGAGAAGCACAGTAGCTAAGTATTAGAACAGTTGCAGGCTCAATTCCAATATACTCAGATAGAGATGAAAAAGCCTGGGTCTGAAACCCTGGAAAGCTGCTGCCAGATCCTGTACACAATGCCAAGCTAAACAGACAATGGACTGGTTCTGCATAGGGTGGCTTCCTATGTTCCTAATAGAACCACAAGATAGTACTACAAGGTATAACTAGCTCCCAGTTTGACTGATTCAGCACATGCCTATAATGCTTAGATGTTGCCAAAGTTTACATCCTTGTCTCAGCCCTTTGTTTGCAAATATAGCACCTTATTATGGGGAGTGACAGCTGAATCGGCAATTATTTGCTTTAATGATGCTCGTCTATTGTATTTTAGGAAAATGTGGTGCAACAGCAGGCCACCCTCCCATATATATATATACAACCAACCTTTAAGATCACTGCAGGAAGCCTTGCTGGCCATTCTAAAATCAATAGAATGTTGCTGTGGAATATGCCAGTGGTAGAAAGCAGCACCAAAGCTTTGGAAATCCTCAGTCATGAGGTTCAGGATGCAGAAAATGTGGCATCTTTCAAATGTCCTCTGAAAAGAGACTTGTTCATGCAGGCTTTCCCTGGCTTTTAATTAAATCAGGGTGTAATACAATCCACCCTGATTCAGATGCATGTAGGCTTCCAAACTTGGAGGCTCACATGCATCCAATGTATGAAACAAGGAGAGGCGGGTATAACCTGTGCTGAGCACTGAACCAAGTATTTTCCCTTGGTGGACATATAGAGCAGGGAAAGAGGCTGAGGTGTAAGCTGTTGGCTCCAGCCCTCTTCCACTTCCAGCATGCTCCTTTCCCTTCTCTCCAAGCCTCTATCCTGATGGGGATGGGGACTCATGATTTGAGTATCTAATAGAGGATTTTTAAAAATTATGGTATTATTTATGGTATCCATTTCTTTACTGTCCTTCAAAAAACTGCCCTACAATTTACAAAGTAAAATCTATAAACAGAAGAAATGGTCAACACACACACATTAGAGAAACCATACCACCCCAAAGTAACAAGATGTATTAAATGAGCAGCATAAGACTTTTGTTTTTTAATCTTAGCCAAAAGTCTTTGGCTAAGACCTAGGAAGTCGTTTCAGTTGCTCCTAAAATGACATAAAAGGCAGTTTCATGTAAGTACCCCAAGAAGACAAAATCAGCAAAGCCATTATAGAGATGTTTTTATTCCAATTTTTAGCCAACAGTTGTCTTCCTATTTTTTAGTACTGCATAATACACATTTTGTGTTACATTTTAATGTCTGTGTGTTTTTAATGTGTCATTATCTAACTGAGAACTTGGGTGGTGGTAAAGTTTTTTGACTAATGAAATATGAATACAATTGTGAACACAAGTAATTAATGTTTTGATGTGCTATCGAAATTTCTGTATGCAAATATCCACTGTGCTGTTAAAAAGTATTTAAGCAATGCAGGATGTTCTGGGAAGAGGATGAATGGAAATACTGATTTATTCTATTCATCAAGATTGAGTCGATTTTCTATTACAGCACATCTCTATTTTTCCATATGTACATATACATACCTTGGCCATCAGTGTTGTTCCAAAGCCACCTTGATAATTGTTAGCAGAAGGCACCCCTTCCATTACTCCTGGAACAGGGTTGTAAGTATCGCTTGACCAACAACGGCCTGAACTCATATTTAGGATTTTGGACAGCAGCTTTGGGTCAAGCCCTAACCTGTCAAAGGTCAGAAGAAGAGAAGTGTTCATGTCAAAACGCACACGTCATGGGTGACTTATTTTTATATGCTGGGACCATGTTGTCATTTCTCCACCTTTATTGTAAGACTTGAAAAATGATCCAGAGCACTATTAAGGGAGGGAGACCCTTCCTTAAATTAAAGGTCATCAATCCTCCACGCATTTCTAGCATGCAAATTGTTCAGTGAAAGTAGAAGCACAAAATAAAGACCTTTCTGGACCCTTTAGCCATTGGATATAAAAAGAAGATTGCATTATCTTAAAGGGTATCTTAACTTGAAATTAAAATGGTATTCTTGGAAACTGGCTGACTCATTCCAGAGCAGAACTGTGCACTGACAAATTAAAAGAATGGATGGTATACAACATCAGCAATAAGTCTAATGGCTTTTCTCCTCGCAAGATATTCAACTATTGTAAACTATATTTTTATTCAATCTTTACTATACAGAGGCAAGCCTACACAGCACTGTGACATATGTTCTCTATCTCTTCAGAGACATGCATTATAGTTCTGGGTCAATTGCTGAGAAGGTTACTGATCCTGATAAAACAAAGCTTGTCCAAGCAGAAACATCATTTGTTCTATTGCCATCACTAAGGTGAAGGCACAAACCATTGTGCCATTGAGGATAGACTTTAAATGTAGTTGAGAAGGTTTTAATGCTACAGGCATAAAAAAAAATCTGGCAGGTTCCTGTGCAGAGGCTATCAAGTTGCAAAGTGCAATGCTGTAGCAATTCTACTTGCGGTTATAAAGAAAGACAATTAAAAGTTAGTTTCACAAAAATGCCGGCCACATATTAGGGTTTTAGGGAGTGAATTTCTGAACTGGGGCTTACTTCTGAGAAGACAGCACACTGTACAAAAAAGCAAACCAGACAGAATTACAGTAGTCTTAATATTGCAGAATTATGCAGAACAATAAGACCAAGGGAAACAGATAACATGAACTCCCTAAAAGTAAGATATATTCTGGAAAAAAACTATTATTGTAGCAGCTTTTTGCAAGGAATCTAGATTGCAAAGTCTTACTTGGTCATTATATTGTTTGTAATACCAATAATATTGTATTCAGCTACTCATGTCTCTAGATACCATGTATGGAATAGCAACCAAAGCAATAAATTATCTATCCATCTATCTAAATGGACCCTACCTATTACTGCCAGTTTATTTCTTTGCATTACAAATCTGCTGGCTCTGGTTTGATTTCCAATTGTTCCTTTCGGCAACTGCATGTTTCATTTTAATTTATTTTTTAAACCCTCGTTATTACTGTATCTGTTATTCTGCCAGAACTGTTTGAAACATGTTTATTTATGCATTACATTTCTATTCTGCCCGATAGTTGAAACTCTCCAGGCATTTCATAATGATTGAAACCATAAAATACAACATGACAAAATGGGAAGTACATGTTTAGAAATGCAAAACTACAGCATAAAATAATCACCAAATAGAACCTAATAGAAGTGCAAAGGTTTGGTACACCGTATGAGATTTAAAACAGAAGCTGAACTTGAAATTAGGAAGGCTGTTAAAACAGAGTAAGAATACAATTATAACACATAAGAATAAAAACAGCAGTCAAGATCCGTAATAATACCCTGTTCTGGATGCTTAAAAACCTACAAAAATCAAAGGTCATTTTCTGGTGCTGAAAGAGCTCTGGGTGTACCTTCCTGGAGAAAGAACTCACTGGAACAAGGGAAACTGCCTTATACTGAGTCAGTTCTACGGTCCACCTAGCCCAGTACTGTCAGCACTGACTGCCAGAAGCTCTCCAATTCTTCATACAGGAATTTTCCCAGTCCTACTGGAGATGCTAAACCTAAAACCTTCTGTGTGCAGCACATAAACTCTGAAAATGAGCTATAGCTCTTCTGCATGGTGCCACCACTGAAAAGGTGCTGACCTCAGTTTCTACTCCTGCTTTGCCTAAGGGTAGGAAATCTGTAGATGAACAGAGGGCACAGAAACCAGATGTTCCTTTCAATACTCCAGTCCCAAGAATTAAAAAGGGATTAAAAAGTGAAGCACTAGCACTTTGGAATGTGCTTTGAACTAGACTGGAAACCAATGCAGGTGTTTTACATGCAGACAAGGCACAATTTCAATGCCCCTTCAGTACTAGCATCCAATTTAATGACTAATCCCCATGGGCAATACCTTGTCCTTTAAAACACACTACATGTGCAAACAGTGTCAAGCTGCTATACTTCCAGCAATACATGTTTTTAAAAAAATACCTATATAGCACCAAGTACCCATTCACAAAATTTGTAACAGAATTCAGGATTTGGCTGTGTTAATACCATTCCATTTCCAACACAGCACATCTTTTATTTATTTAAAACATTTCTATGCCACCCCATCGCAATAAAGCCTCGGGACAGTTCACAAAACATCAATAAATAACAACACAATAAAACCCCAATACAATAAAACCCCAGTGTAATAAAACCTCAATAAAACCTCAGTGCATTCTCGGCTAAAAATTTAAAAAAAAACCCTAGTTAAATAAATAAATAAACAATTAAAATAAGTTTTAAATAAAAAGGTCTTAGCCTGGCGCTGAAAAACAAATAACGACGGTGCCAGGCGGACCTCTCTGGGGAGTGCTTTTGGATATTGGATTTTAATGTTCACTCCCAAAAAGACCTATACAGTAAAACTGGGGAGTAATCAGTTTCCCCAAATGAGAATACTGCTGCCCATGAGGGTTCACATGAGCATCTTCAGTGTAACATATATTTGAACATCACAGATGTTCCAAGGCACATTCAGTGTGCATTTCCAGCACTAAGATTTAGATAAGAATGTGAAAAAAAATCCACAATTTTCAAAATTATATCTTCTTAAGATACTATGCAGTTTCCTTCAAGAGACCTGAGACCCTGTTTCCCCCAATCCTTCTCTTTTTTCATCCCTTTCAGCAAGTATATCATTAAAAGGAGCAAGTTAGATGTGTTTTGCATTTCATCTTTCTGAGGATTCATCTATTGATGCGTAGATAACTGACAGCTAAAATTAGACATGTATTAAAATCAGTTACTGAAGAAGTCCTCTGTCTTCCATGTGCCCAAAGCTTGTAATGGCCTGAAAAGTGGGTAGAATATACAGTAATTGTCATTCAGTAAGAGTCTATCCTAGAAAGTCATGCTTCAGTGGAGAAGACTGAGTTTCCATTTGAAATCAACAAATTAATCCAAGACAGGTATCTGAAAGGGCAAGTTTAATAGGAAGCAGCTACTGGGCTCTCAACCATGATAAAATGTTATTGCTGTTTCCCTGTAAATTGGCTCGGAACATATGATACTTTCTGCATAAGAGCTCTATTGCTGTTCAGGAGATATACTGCTCAAGCTATCAAAATGATGACAGACTGTCAGTCCCCATAATAACTTGCCACTGGACATGGCAAGAGGATGTGCATGCGCGGATGCATTTACAATTGCCTAGGTGTTCCACGTTTTGGGTAGGGGGAAAAAGCACCGCACTGTTTCTGCTGCCTCCTGTCCAATAATTGCAGCACATAAATCAACACACAAATCCTTTAAACTCTTCATAAGCTGGTAGGAAGTTCAGAACTCTGAAAGTACAGAAACTGGCTTAGATCTTTTTTTAAATGTAGTTTAAAACTTTTAACCAGTTAAAACCAGCTCTGATTGTTACTGTTGTAAAATGTAGGTAATTTGGGCACATTTTCTTGCTATGATTCATAGCAGTTTTGGTTTGCTCTGCCTATACAGTGGTGCCTCGGCTCACGAATGCCTGGTTCACAACCAAATTGGGTCATGAACAAAAATGTCATGAAAATTTTGACTTTGGTTGCGAATTCTGCATTGGATGGCAACCAAGATTGTGGCCATCTCCCCTAACCCCGAGTGGGGAAATGGCCACGATCGCAGTTGCGTTTGTGCAGGGAAGACGTGTGATCACAGATGTGCTCCTGCAGGAAAGACGGGCACAATCTAGGCCATCTCCCCCCACACCCGCACAACCAGCATGATCGTGGCCATCTCCCCCACCCCCCCAAATGGGGAGATCGCAGTTGTGTTCATGCAGGGAAGACATAGAGGAGCTGACGACAGAAGAACTTGCTGAACTCCAGAGTGAGCAGCAGAAGGCACTTGCTGAGGAGGATTCCACTGAGGAAGAGGAAGACAGGGAGGAGGTGAACAGTGATGTGATACTATCCATTATGAAGAAATGGAATGAGTGCCAGGATTTCTTTGAGAAGCACCACCCCAACATAACTGTAACCAACACAGTGTTGAAACTGATGAACAGTAACGTGGTCTGTTCTTTCCGGAGGGTTATGCAGTGCAGGAAAAAACAAGCGACTATAGATAGATTTTTCACCAAATGACCCTCCAGCTAAGAGACAAAGAAGAGAGGAAACCCCTGAAAGAGATCTCCCCAGTGTCCTTATGGACTGGGACTCTCCCTCAAAACAATAACCTCCCCCGCACCTAGGTTAATGTTCTCCACTGTACTGTACAGTACTTTGTTACTTTGTTGTTCTTTGTCACTTTGTTTCAAATTTTTCTGATTAAAAAAAAAATAGTTACAGAACGAATTAACCTTATTTACATTGAACCTTATGGGGAAATTTGACTTGGCTCGTGACCAAAAATTGGCTCACAACCCCATTGGAGAGGCCAGAACGGATTAACCTTATTTACACTGAATCTTATGGGGAAATTTGACTTGGGTCACAACCAATTTGGGTCACAACCAGAGTCGTGGAACAGATTAAGTTCGTGAGCCAAGGTACCACTGTACTCTGGAGGTACTTCATGCAACAACCCCATTCCTAGCTTAGTTCTGGTGATCTTCTGCAAGGCAGGACTAAAGACAAAAAACTATTGTAATTGTACAGGGTTACCCAGAGGCTATGGAGGATCTTCTGGTATATTACTAGGAAGAAATGCTACAGCAGAACAAAAGTAGAGCCAAAAAAAGAGTACA